GGAGGGCAGTGTCACTGGCCCTCATATGTGGGATCCGAACCGGGGCCCTCTGGCATCCCAAGCGAGTTCTTAACCATCGCGCCACTCGGCCGGCCCTGAATTTTTCTTATTTGATCGTTGCTGGTGGAGGTTTTCTCCTCAAGTTTCTACTCTTTTTTGTTCATTTTTGTTAGATGATGAGAGAGGGAAATTGTATGATGCAACTTCATTCCACTATGCTAACCTGGAAGCTCAAGGCAATAAATTTTTAAAGAAATACCTTCCACATAAAGGAAAATTAATCATTAAAATAAACAATGCCTTTAACCTCAATGTAGCAACAAATGCAAAGGAATTTTTCATAAAGGTGGCTTATGCAGAAATCTCAGTGACATCCTATCTGGCAGAGGCAGCCAAATATTAAGTTATCTCTCAGAATGAAAGGGATCTTACAGGTGCAGAAATAAATAAAAGATAAATTGTTTTTAGGTGTTCTAACGTGATAGAAGAATAGACTTAGATTATCTAGAGCCATACATAGTTAGAAAGCATATTTAGTCCAGTTTAATGTGCATATATATCACCTTGAGGAATCTTCCTAAAAATGCAGATTCTGATTTAGTAGGTCTTGGATGGGACCTGAGATTCTGTATTTCTCAGGTGATGCAAATGCTATTGATCTTCAGATGACACTTTTAGTAGCAAGATTGTAGACAACCGTAGACTTAGCACTCCTCTACTTCACATGAGACAAAAGACTGTACCGTATCATCTTTGTACCCCTGCTATCTAATGAAGTACTTGAATAAAAGTATGCACTGAAATATTTTCTTGTTAAATAATTCTATGACTACTAGGTGCCTAGAATACTTGTATTCTATATTGGTGGATGAGGAAGAATCCTTATGTTTTGGAAACCAACTTAGTGAATGATAGAATTGCTACTTTATCTTAAAAGTCCAAAGCCTAACTAAAATTTTTGCTCATATGAAAAACTCATGCACATCATACAGCTAAATATCAGACAACAAAATATTACTTCTCAAATACTTAAACAATTTTTTTGTCTTTTTTAAATTAAAATTTATTGGGATGACAATGGTCAACAAAACTACATAGGTTTCAAGTATACAGTTCTATAATACATCATCTGTATATTGCATTATGTGTTCACCACCCAGAGTCAGTTCTCATTCCATCACCATATATTTGACCCCCTTTACCCTTTTCTACCACACCTCCTCCCTCCTCCCCCTCTAAACCGTGGTCTGTGTCTATGAGTTTTTGTTTCTTTGTCTTGTTCCTTTGTTGCCTTCAGTTTTAAATCCCACATATGAGTGAAGTTGTATGGTTCTTGACTTTTTCTGTCTGACTTACTTCACTTAACCTAATGATCTCAAGATCCATCCATGTTGTCTCAAATGGCAGTATTTCATCTTTTCCTATGGCAGAGTAGTATTCAATTGTGTATGCAAGTATGTACACATCTTTATCCAATCATCTATCAAAGGACACTTTGGTTGTTTCTATGGCTTGGCCACTGTAAGTAAAGCTGCAGTGAACATTGGAGTACATATATCTTTACAGATAAATGTTTTCAGATTTTGGGGGTAGATACCCAGGAGAGGGATTGCTGGGTCATATGGTAATTCTATTCTTAGTTTTTTGAGGAGCCTCCATACTGTTTTCCATAGTGTCTGTACAAATTTACATTCCCACCAACAGTGTATGAGGGTTCCTTTTTCTCCACAGCCTCTCCAACACTTATTATTTGTCTTGTTGATGATAGCCATTCATTCTAACAGGTATGAGGTGATATCTCATTGTGGTTTTGATTTGCATTTCCCTCACAGCTGGTGAAGCTGAACATTTTTTCATATATCTGTTGGCCATTTGTATGTCTTGTTGGGAGAAGTGTCTGTTCATGTCCTCTGCTCATTTTTTAAGTGTATTATTTGTCTTTTTGTTGTTGAGTTATATGAGTTCCTTTGAATGGTCTTTAATTGAGCTCAAGATATCAAATATTACTGAAATGAAAGAAGTGTGTAACAGTAGGTGTTACCAATTATCCATCCTGGGAGTAGAAAAACAAGTAATATTCCAATGGTGCAACTAACCTTAAGCTGTGTGACATTTTTGTGGGCCTACCCAGCTGAGTAAGCTGTGAAATTCACCTTCAGATAACTGAACTAATCCTCACTTTAGACTAATAGTTCTTAATTGCTTGGCTACATTTTTTAAATTGCCTTTTAAGGAACTTTTAAATGCCCAGGTTGCACTCCACAGAAGGGACCCAAGCATCAGTATTTTTTAAAGCTCCACAGATGATTCCAGTGTATTGTCAAGTTTGAGAACCATTACTTGACTGTGAGCTCTTTGAAACCAGGGTTAATCTTTCATTTATTTTTTTAACTCTTAACACCTAATACTTGGTATAGGTACACAGTAAATGTTGACTTAATCACTGGGTGAATTATGTTATGAGGAAGTATTGCCTATTGCCAAACAGTAGCATTCTTCAGTATAAAGTGACTATTTTAGCTTTATTAGCATATTGAAATTTGAAAATTTTGATTGCCCTCTTGGTATTGACAATTCTGAAAATTGGCATTAGATACTTTTGTGTGCTTAAGTATTATGTTGATAAAATTCAATATATCAATTTTTTGTCAAGATCTGATGTAAATGGAATGTGGTCAGAGATGAAAAAGCTGTGTGACTCAGGCAATCCAGTACTGTGATAGAGTATTTAGGAATGTTAATAAATAAATCTAAAGTGTTCTAGGATTCATTAGTGGGAGAACAAGTTCAATTTCATTGCTGAGTTATGACATCAACTTGCTTTTTTATAGACTAGAAATAATAACTACTTAGAATGATGAGTATCTACACTTTTCTACTTTTTAAATAGAAGCACAAGGCAATGGAAATTTTAAGTTTAGTTTGTGAAACCACTTCATAATAACCTATATTGTTATACTCATTGATTTTGTATGCTTTCCTTATTACAAAATTGTAATTATAATTATATCACGGTTGGAAGTTCTTCAGTGGGGTTCTCAGTAGTCTACAACTTTTATCTTTTAAAAATACTTTGTTGGGCTGGCTGAGTGGCCCAGTTGGTTAAGAGCTCGCTCAAGAGTTTGAGCTCTGAGCAAAGCGGATGCCCGGCCCGAGCTGAGCAGCTGCTGAGCTGCCAACAGGTGGCAGGATGGCTCAGCTTAAAAAAAAAAAATACTTTGTTGCCATTAATTAATCAAAAGGGAAAATCCCCTTCATTTGGAGCTTTGAGCTCTCCATTCCTATAATACAAGGATGAAATAAAAATGTGTGAGGACAGGGGAAACAATCATTTTTAGTTCCTAAATTTGTCCTTCTAACTAATCATCCTGCATTTTACGCTGCTGATGAATTTGAGAACTGCGGAAATTGTATTTTACATGTAGGTATTAGTCCACTACTTGTATTTAACATCTAGTTATCAGCAATTAAATAATATAATTGTATTATTAAATTTTGGACCAGAATTTTAAAAAGATAATGAAGCAATATACTACCGAAGCAAATATTTGATTACAATTTAAATGGGCATTTAATAGTTCTTTTTAATAGCTAAAATGTAGGATAGATTAATAGAATTACCAATAGTGGAAGCAAATAGAGATCCTAGTTAAACTTCTTTACAAACTAGCTGGGTAACTTTGAGTAAATTATTTAACCACTTTGTACTTCAGTTGTCTTTTCTGGAAAATGAAGAGTCAAATCTTCTAAGGTCTCTACCAACTAAAATTTTATGGTATGTAATTCTAATCTATAAGTGTCATAGTATTGATGTGGAGAAAAAAACTTTAAGCAATTATTTATTCCTATACATTTCTTTTAAGGCAACCATGTAAAATAAATCCTGAAAAAATGTAAAGCTTTCCTAAACAACTTGAAACTTAGCAGAAAATATTGACTCAATCACAGGCAATATTGGGGAACATATGTTGAGGATCCACAGATCTGGTTTGAATCCCAGCTCTTCTTCCTTTTAGTTTGTGAGCCCATAAGCAAGTAAGTTTCGTGACTGCTCAGAATCCATTGATGAAAAAATGAATGAGTCTGTTTCTTTCAATATAAATTGAAGTATGAATATTTACCTGGCAGGATTGATATAGCGTTTAATAATGAGTATTTCCTGTGTTTCATTTACTTTCAAGAATTTGATGCTTGCTTCATAATTTTCTATAATGAGTAAAATAAATACCCAAAACTACAGTATATTTTTGATCAACAGTGAAATTGTTCCATGAATTGTGCTTCAAAATTTTCATGTAGATTGTTGAAAACAGTCTGTTTTTCCTCACTATGAATAAAGCATTTGAGTATATCCATGTTTTGAGCAGGTAGGCAAGTCATTCTTCATATGACATTATTACTGTTTTCTTTCAGGAAACTCTGATAGATTGGTGTGATGAAAAGGAACTTAATTTGATATTAACAACTGGAGGAACAGGGTTTGCACCACGAGATGTCACTCCAGAGGTGAGTTAAAATATGCCTTTCTCATTCAAGTAGTATTCATGTTATTTTAATCCTTTTAAATATTTTTTATATTATTATTTTTTTAATTCTCGTAGGCTGAACAGGAGATGTGTGGTTCTAAGAATGTGAACATTTTGCTGTGGAAAAATTATGATCTAAAAATGTTTGTTGACTTTCTTTCTTTGGACTTAAACTAGAAATGATATAATATGAGGAGGAATAAGCTGGTCCAGAAGGCAGTGCTGCAATTGTTTAGGGTCTGCGGTATCAGCTGAACTTGAGGCATATTGCCAAGGAGGTGATAGCAGAACTCTGACTCTTACTGTGGCATCTGTTCTTTGTTAATATAATTCAAAATGTATCTGATTTCTCTTTTCTTTTGATAACCTTGTCACTGGTCTCAAAGCACAGTAGGATAACTGCAACAGAATATTTACACCAATGTTACAGTTCTTTTGGCGAGAGAGTATTATATATCCCACCATTTTTAATGTGAATTTAAATGCAGAATTTAATAAGCCAAAAAGTAGAATTACTATCTAGGCTTCATACCACAAGAATCACCTCAGCCTTTGCACAGGGGGAAAAATTGGGGAAAGAATAGTAGGCAGTGCTCACTGATACAGAGGAAAAAGTTTTTCTTATTAAGGGAGCCATAAACCAGGTGTCACTTTCAGAGCCATATGCAAACTTATATGACCACTTGTGACATTGTTTCCTTAATCTTCCCAAAAAGTGTTTCTTGGATGAATTTCAATTTAATGTTAACTATATCTTTATACTTTCTTTTCTTATTTTTTTTTTTAAGCTGAGCCATCTTGCCACCCGTTGGCCCCTCAGTGGCAGCTCAGCTCAGGCCGGGACTTGAACCAACAACCCTGTTGCTCAGAGCTTGCACTCTTGAGCAAGCTCTTAACCAACTGAGCCACTTGGCCAGCCCTTTTATCTTTGTATTTTCAAATCAGTACCCTATTGCATCTACTATCTTATTAAGCAAGATACTATTGCTCTGCATCTATTAAATAATGACTGCCTTCTTTCCAAACTTTAGCCTGCACCACTGTCAAATACAGGGCTTGTTCAAATTGCTGGGCCTCACCCACAGAGTTTCTGATGCAGTAAAATCTGCAAAGCGTGCTGAAAATTTGTATTTCTAACAAGGCCCCCGGTGATGCAGATGTTGCTGGCTCATAGATCATATTTCCAAACTTTGAGAACCACTGTTCTACTATATGAAAATGCAAACTTTTGAAACAAGTTGTAAAACATTTTCTATTCTATGCAAAATTCACGACAAACATTTTTTTGGATATTATTATAATTAAGTATATAAATGGTTTTGCTTTTAAATCAATAAGAATAGAGTTGTTTTGAGAAATTGTTAACTTTAACTGCTTAAAAAAAGAAGTCATCCTCACATAATTTATTTAGTTTCTGGATCCTAAGGGGCAGTAGTCCTTTGGCCAATTTTTACATTTCTTTTAAACTATGAGACTAACTTAAAAGGTACAATTAGAGGGAAGCCATCTCCTATAGAGACATGTTTGTGTTTTGTTTTCTTTTGTTTTGTTTGTAAGAAAATTGCCTACATATGTGAAGACATTGATTTTTGGAGTTGGGAGTTAAGTGTCTGAAGTAAATGAAACTATGCTTCTATTTTTTGTGTGATGGTTTGATATTTTCATAATATTTCTTATTTTTATATCAGAAAAATACAAAAAAAGTTACCACAGAATTCATTAATAACCAGATAACATTAGTATTAACTGTGGGGAAATAATTTAATCACAAAGTTTAGCATTTTGTATTCTGTGGAGCTTCAAGTTAATAATGCTGGGTTGCAAATTCAAACCTTTGAATTCTGGCTCTGCTACTCACTAACAAGGTGACAATAGACTAGTCACTAATCTGCTCTGTGCCTCAGTTTCCTATGAAATGAAGGAAACAAAATTACCTATCTACCAGGGTGACTGAGGAGTCAATGAGAACTATTGCTGGTATTTTAGTAAGCCCTACTTAAAGGTTAAATTATAAGGGGTAAATATTTTTTTATTTATTGCTATATAACTACCAAGTGGACACATTTGATAGTATTTTTTGTATGTAACTACCAAATGGACAAAGTTTTATACTATGTTTAAATTATACCCATGAAATCATCACAATTTTGTTACATTATTTTTAATTTTGATATAGTAAGCTTCATATTTCACCTTTTCTAGCTCCATATAAATCAGAAATCTTGAATTTCTACAATTCTAATTTTACCCCCTTGCCCCCCTTTTTGGGTACTATTAGTTAACAAGAGTCTATCTCTTTCCCTGACCTTGTGTGTTTCATTATATCAGAAATTGAGAAGTTCTTTATTCTTAAATGAAGTTGTTTAGTTACCTGAAAATCTTAGAGGTGCTCTTATGTTCTTACATTTATATACGCCTATAGCAACTAACTAGGTAAAATTGCATTAGGTTTTTTTGTTTGTTTGCTTGTTTTTTATGATTTAAAAATGAACATAAATATTTCTTCTCTAATATCTATTTTTGAAAACAGGTGATTTATTTGATTGTGAATTCTTGATATTTAATAGATTCACTTTATGTCTTATATATATAAATACATGTGGTATGACTGTCTACAGCAGAAGTCCATAGGACTGTTAAGCCTTTGAAAAATTAAATAATCGTAAAAGCAATGTAGGGCCACCCAAAAATAATTATAATTTCCCATTCCTTCTATATCCTTAAATAGTTGCAATTCTTATAATATCTAAAAATAACACTGGGATGTCAGCTAGGAATCCAGAAATGTAACTTTGGACCTGTAATAATATAGTTATTTGTCTTTAATTTGTTTGTCTTAGACAATTGTGCCCAAAAAGAGAGGAAACTATTTCTAAACTACATTTACCTGTATACAACTTAAGGTTGCAAATGTTTTTAAATAGATTCAAAAGTTATTGATGGAAAACACAAATATTAAGGTAAAATAATATAAATTTTCCCCCTTAACATGCTAAAATTGTATAGTGAATAATTTACAATAATTAGTATGATCTACAATCAGAAAGGACAATTGTTTGTGGGATGTGTGTGTTGTTAGAAAAAACATGAAGAGGAATGACAAGTTGAATGAATGAAATAAAGCATTCTAAAGTTATTTTTAATGGGTATGGTTCCTGGAGAAAATTAAAAGTTTAATAGACTTAGATTTCTTCCCAGGTTTATTTTAAAAAGGAGCAGGGGGGAATAGCAAGTTTAGAAAAATGTATCCTGTTCACATATTTTTTTAGGAATAAGGCAATCAGAATTGATTTTCCTAAATTAGTAATTTATTTCTATTTTTAGGCTCTGTATCTTAGAATATAGTTCATTTGATAGTGCCTGGCTCACTCCCTTCCTCTAACCATGAGATACTATCAAAGCTTACATAAAATAGCATAATAATCCACACTCTTCAACTCTGTAGTTTTATTTTTATAAGAAAAGCTTTATTTTTTAAAAATAGATTGCATTTTCGCTGATCTTATAAAAAGGTTGGATAATCTGTTGGCATTGGTGAAATGCCTGTAATTATACTCTATAGAACATAAGAACTCATTGCTTTACAAGGTATTATCTCTTCATGTCCCATTATCACTTAATGATGTATTTCCAAAATAGGTATTATTAAATCATGCATCTGTTGTTATTCTCAAAAAGTAGAAGTGTAATTAAGGACATAAATGAGGTGAAGTAAAAGCCCTTATAGAGAGAATAAAAGATTAAGCATTAAAAAAAATCTATATAATGACAAAGAAATGTTTAATAATATAGTAAATTAGAAAATAATAAACTATTTAATGTTTATAAGGTAAAAATAACTCTCAGCACTTTTAGAGCACTAGGCTACACCAGAATAAAGAGTTGTAAACTAATATATTATTTGGATCATGAATTAAAGCATTACATAAAAGCCTAACAAACATTTTAGGTCTCATCCACTCATTCATTCATCAAGTTTTGTATTTTTAGTCTTTAATATATATCCAGTGCCATACTAGGTGCTAGAGTTAAAAAATGAATAAAGCATGGTCCCCATCCTCAAGCAACTCTTAATTTATCACAGGGATCAGCAAATTATGACCTGTAGGCCAAATCTAACCTGTCATCTTTTTTTGTATGGCTTGTGAGCTAAGAATGCATTTTATATTTTTAAATGGCTGAAAAAAATTAAAAGGAATATAATAATTTGTGACACATGAAAATTATTTGAAATTCAAGTTTTGGTGTCCATAGATGAAGCTTTATTGGATTCATTTACATATTCTCTATGGCTACAAAGGAACAGTTGAGTAGTTGTAACCAAAACCTTATAGCCTGCAAAGTCTAAAATATTTACCATCCGACCCTTTGTAGAAAAAGTTTGTCAGCCCCTGGTCAGTAAGTCATCTTTACTCACATTTTTTTATTGAATTTTACCTGTGTTATTTAGTAATCTGAAATGATGTTGGGCTTCATTTTTAAATTTTTTTAATTTTAGAAGGAGCAAAAAAACCCCTTTTCTGCCATAATGAAATGTATTGCCCCATTGTCTCAATAGACAATATAGCATAACAAAAGTGAAAGATTATTTATTCTAAATAATACATAAAATTTTGAACTCTCAAATTGGTCAAATTAATATTTATTATACAGTGAGTAAAATCTCACTCTTAAAAAATTTTCAAACTGAAATTTTTTTTTTTAGAGTCAGGTGCACAAAGCAACATAATAGTTAGACATTTACACCCCTCATAAAGTGATAACCCCCTTCTTCCAAGCTACTACCCCTCTGACATCTTATATAGCTGTTACAGTACATTGCCTATCATCCTTATGCTATACTCCACATCCCGTGTCTGTGTGTGTGTGTGTGTGTGTGTGTATTTTTTCTTCTTCTTATAGCTAACATACAATATTATTCTACTTCAGCTTCAGTTGTACAACACATTGGTCATTCAAACTGGGATTCTTAACAATACC